GGGCAGGCTTCACCGGAGGGAGCTGCGGCCCGGAGAGATACCACCCGGTGTAGCCACTGGGGCACTGGGCCCAGGTGGTTTGCTGGGCACTGGGGGCATGCTGGCAGCCGATGGCATCCTGTCGGGCCAAGGTGGCCTGCTCGGAGGAGGTGGTCTCCTTGGTGATGGAGGACTTCTCGGAGGAGGTGGAGTCCTGGGCGTGCTTGGCGAGGGCGGCATCCTCAGCACCGTGCAGGGCATCACTGGGTAAGGAGGGGCCAGGCTCTCCCTATCAAGCCCAAATGATGAACTTAACAAACATGGTGATCACCCCAGGGGCCTAGAGTTGGAGGGGTGACAGTCTTCAGAGCCCCATGCACTTCAAGACTTGGCCTCAGGACTGGACATCTTGAGAGTCCCAAGTTGTGTGGCTTGGGGTCTAGTCACTAAACAACCCTGAATTTGAGTCACAGCTCACCTTTTTATGTATATGTGTGACTTTGGGCCATTGTTTTCATCTCTCTGAGTCTCAATTTCCTCATCTACAGAATGGTCATCATCATAGTTAAAGTAGAAAATGTGCAAGGATTTAAAACTACACACATATAATTTCAGCTATGCCCAGTCTCCTCATATTCTCATAGTCACTATTTAATTCAACAAATACTGAGCACGTCTCCTATGTGCAGGCCACTGTGTTGGCACTGGAGACAAGGACACATGGTTAGCCAATAAAAGACACATCTCTAGTCCCCACAGAGCTTGCAGGCCGATGGGGTATATGGGCTTTGATAAAGACGCCTGAAAATAATCATGCAATTATAACACTGGTTAGCAGCTCATGGAGAAATAAGGATGTGTATAGTGGGGGAGGTCAGGGAAGGCTTCCTGGAGGAAGAGGGTCTTAAACTGAAAGCAGAGAATTTGTAGGAAGGAACCAGGAAAAGAAGGGCAAGGATAAGCAGGGAGAATGGCATCTTTACAAGAAAAAAATTCAAAGGAAATACAAGGAAATGTAAACAGTGGGCCTCCAGGCAATGAGAGTGTGGGTCATGGCATTTTTTCCTGTCACTTCTCTGTGTTTTCCAAGTTCTATCCACAAACCTCAGGTATCGTTAGAGTTAGGGGGAATGAATGTGGCACAGAGAAGGGGGTGTATGAACACAGGGCACCCCCAGTGAAGCGTGGCAGACCCCGGGGATGACCATCTCACCAGCCTGGGTCCTATGCAGGCTGCGCATCGTGGAGCTGACCCTCCCCCGAGTGTCCGTGCGGCTCCTGCCTGGTGTGGGCGTCTACCTGAGCTTGTACACCCGCGTGGCCATCAATGGGAAGAGGTGTGTACCCTCAGCCCTGGAGGGGTCCCCACCACCCGAGGTCCTGGATGAAAGATCTTGAGCAGGTCATTTCCCCTGTCTGCACTCCAGCCTCTTTGTCCGTAATGTGAGGAATACTAACACCGAATGTATTACCGGCACCTGACTTATACCCTTGGGCTCAGGCCATCTTCCGGTCCCGGTCAGCAGTGAAGGTAGCCTGCATGGGTGTTAAGATCTGGGAGGCTAGAGACAGGTGACAGCCTGGCTTTGAATCCTGACTCTATTACAAGCTGTGTGACTTCTGGTCAGCCCCTAATGTCACCAAGTCTTAGTGTCTTCACCTGCCACGGACATAGTGACATCTCCTTTTCCAGGTGGCTGTGGCCGCAAGGGAGGGAAAGCAAGAAAATGTCTCCCTGATAGTGCCCGCCACAAAGTAGGTGCTTAGCGGAGGACTTTAGAGAGTGGACTTTTGTGCTGATTTCTCCCCATGGGACGAGGTCCTGTCTATGAGGCTAGGTCAGTGGGTAGTCACTTTGAAAACCAGAATTTATGTGTAGAGTTCATTTATTGACTCCTGTTCCCAGCCTTTGAGGCTCTCTCATTGACTAAGTGGGAGATGGATTTGTTCATGGATGTAGAGGGACCCGGGAAGCCTTCTGGTTTGGGACCCCTAGAGATGAGCAAGGCGCAGAATAGATGCACGACAGCAAGGGGCGGGGACAGCAAAGACAGCCCAAGGTGCAAGGTGCTGGGTAGAACTGAATGAGGCTGGAGGCCTGGAGGCTGAGGTTGACTAGCCGTCTCCCTGGCCCCACTACCTCCTCTAGTCTCATTGGCTTCCTGGACATCGCGGTGGAAGTGAATATCACGGCCAAGGTCCGGCTGACCATGGACCGCACAGGCTACCCTCGGCTAGTTGTGGAGCGATGTGACACCCTCCTGGGGGGTATCAAAGTCAAGCTGCTTCGAGGGTGAGTACTGGTGGGCAGTGGAGTGCCTCGGTGGACGGTGGAGCGGTCTTTGATAAACCATGTGGTCAGGAGCAGAGGCTCTAGAAGCAGCCTGCGGTTCAACCTCCACGATTCCTTGCTGTGTGACTTTGAGCAACTCTGCTGCCCTCTGAATCTGAGCTCCACTTGCTGTGTCTGTGAAATGGGCTAATACTCTTTCCCTTTGGAATGGAGATAACGAATGCACAACAGTACAG